TATTGTAGAAAGAAATATGGAGTATATCATCTTCCCTGGGTCCTCTAGGACTTCCAATCATCAGTAACCTACACGAGCTTGCTAAAACAGTTCCACAGCAGTACCTATGGCAACTCTCCAAAAAAATATGGCCCTCTTATGATCCTCCAACACGGTTTCGTTCCAACCCTTGTGGTTTCTTCAACGAAGATAACTAAAGAGGTCCTGAAAACCAATGATGACGAGGCTGAATCAAACTAACATATTTCTCATACTAATTTATTTTTGTCTTCAGAATATATTTATGGTTGGAACAGACACAACGTCAGCTCTTCTTTCTTCAAAAAATATATTACACATTTATTATCCACCAACCGAGTTGTATAATGCCCCCTTTAAAATTTTCTGTAACTTTTTTTTTTTTCTTTCTTTTATCTTTTACTCTTCAATTTTCTTTAAATAAAATAAAAGTTTAATTTCCCTTCATCAATCAAACTATATTTTTTTTCTTCAAAAGTCTTTCATTTTTATTTTATTTTTCTTCTTTTTTTTTCTCCCTACTTCCTAAAATTCTTCCGTTCTCAGTTACGTATGATGCATGTAGTATGTAACCTTTTTATCTCTTATTGTTCTTTTTATTCTCTCTTCTATTTATTTAAATTTATTATTATACTTTTTTTCCTAGTTTATTATTGTAATTTTATAAACTCAATTGGCCTGATTTCATACATGGCTATCAAAATACAAAGTCTTACAACCATTTACAATAGATATATTATCAATTAATATTTTGATTCTTATATTTATCATTTTCTTAATTATACTACCATTGGTTATCATATTCTTTTGCAACGATATTTTTTTCTTGTTTTTGTCAATTACATTGTGCCCCTAAAATGAAATCTTGACTCCGCCCTGATTAGTTGTATACTTGTATATATATAGTCAATAATTATTCATTTTGTTCATGAGGTTTTAGATTTTTAATCATATAGTTGTATTTCTTTATACTTAAAAAAATTTCAAAAAAAATGTCATGAAATTGTTTATTTTTTAAAAAATTATTTTCAAATCTGTGCAAAACATGGTGGCCCCAAGTTTGAGAAAGACTTTTCATTCACATAAGAGCAACTCCATCAGTGGCTTTTTTGGCGAAAGTGGCCCAATTTTTGAAGATGCAATGCTCCAATGGCATATGGGAAAAGTGGGCCGCAAAAAGAGGCTCTTGATTGGGTTGGCGATTCGTGGGCCTGCCATGCTGGCCCGCATCAGTTTTCTTCTTCTTTTTTAATTTTTGCTCAACAGTGTTTTAGCCCAGAACACTATTTGGTAAGGCATGTTTGGCTAAAAAAAAAAAAGAAGAAGGAAAAAATCAGTTTTTTGACTGATTTTGGTCTCTCTTTTTTTCCCTCAATATAATTGAACCAAAGAGCTGTTAAGGCACTGTTTGGCTGACCAAACAGTGCCTTAAAGGCTTTTTTGGGCAAAAAAAGTTTTTAAAAAATAAATAAAAGTGTTTTTTTTAAAAAAATTTATTTTTTAAAATATTCCTACTGACATATAGTCGTTTTAGGCACTGTTTGGCTGACCCAAACAGTGTCTTAACAGCTATATTGGCACAAAACCTATTTTTGAATTTTTTTTTTGAAAAAATTCATTATATATATATGTAGTTATAAAAAAAAAATTAAAAAATAAATAAAAAAAATAAAAAATAAAAAACTTTTCATTCTTCTTCTATAAATATATTAACCTCTACTATTATTTACCTCATATCCAACCCATCTTCTCTAATTTTCAACCTACAACTACAACCACTAAGTCATTTTCTCAATCTTTTAATTATATTTTTTACTCAAGTTCAATTCCATGTATCCTCCACCACCATATTACAACTACAACTCCCAATTCAACCAATCAAATGATAATTTTGTTCAATTCTTATTTGTCAGAGAAGAATCTCAATTTGTTGGAGATGAATCTCAATTTTCGTCTCATCAACCTTCTCAAGTTTCCAACAATCCTACTGAAGTGCCACAATCCAATAACTCCCAGCCTCCCAGAAAGCAAAAGGCTATTCAACCTCCTAATTGGTCCATGGTTGAAGATGAAGCTTTATGTTATGCGTAGATGGCCATTAGCACTGATGCGGTCATTGGTTCAGACCAACAAAAGGCAGCGTTATGGATCCGAATTCAAGAAAGTTTTGAGCAACACGTTAGTGGTGCTGGTACACCTAAAAGAAATCATATCGCCGGCTTGAATCGTTGGTTCATCATGCGACAAATGATTACCAAATTTTCTAGATGCATGACCCAAATCAAAAGGAGTTACCCCAGTGGGCAAGACAATGAATACAAGATAAACTATTTATTATATTAAATTTAATTGGTAGATATTTTAAAGATTTGTCTTCTAATTATTATTGATTTTTTTTTTTTTTTAGATGATAGCAGCCAAAGCGTTGTTTGATCGTCACAATAACAACAAATTTAAGTTTGACAGTTGTTGGAACATTTTGAAGAACAACAATAAGTGGTATTTACATTGTCAAAAAGAATTGACATAAAAAAAATAAAAAATAAAAAAAGGGGGGAGAGCCGAAGAAAAGGAGTGGAATCCATATTGATGATAATGAGCCTATTGGTCACTCAAACCCATCTATTCCATCAAGTAATGCAGTAACAACACCAAGTTAGGTTGAAGGATCAGCGCACATAGGCGAAAATAATCTGACGGATGTTGAAGAATATCAGCGGCCAGAAAGACGAAAAGCAACGAAGCAGAGACGAAATAAGGATAAAAGACAATCTGAAAGTCAAAATGATTTCATTAGCAAATTCGATCATGCAACAGCCTTTTATCAAAGACAATCTGAAACTCTTAAGGCCACTCAAATAGCACGAGAGGCACGCAAAGCAGATAATAAAAAAACTAGACAACTCGAGTTTCAAAGCAACTAAGAGAGGTTGAAAACAAACAAAGAGCTGAAGAGATGTTAATTATGCAAAAAGATCCAGAATCGATGCCAACACAAGCCGGAAAAGCATGGCTGATTGAACGCCAAAATAAAATATTACCATCTATACGCACACGCGGCAACTCAAACTTTCCATAAGATTATCTCAAGCATTCTATACGATTGTTTTGTTTTTCTTAGTTGTTATGTTTTTAATTCATGTCGTATTGTATTGTTTTTTATTTTTATTGTATTGTTTAAATTTATATCGTATCGTATTGTTTTTAATAATAAATATTGTATTGTTTAAATTTTTTTTTTTTATGATATACCCATTTTAAAAATATAGCCGTTAGAAAAAAATTAAAAAATAAAATTTATTAAAAATATTAAAATATTAATATTTTTGGATAGCGCAAATACAACATTGAAGTACATCCGATATCTAAAATTTGGAGATTCTAAAACGCTGACGTGGCTATGGAAAAATGCTGATGTGACAAATTCGGATAACCTGAATTCGGAGAGTCCATTGGAAATACCCTAATGGGTTCAAGACATGGTACCTTTCCAAACTGGCCTGTGTGATGTGGGTCCTATTTAGTTCCAGTTGTTTTATTTTTCTTCACAAAATACGTTTTCCAATTATAAGGCCTACTCCAATGTTTCCACGAGCCCCAATTTGATTTTAGCGACTCATGAGGGTCCAATGGGGGTCGCCAAACAGTGGACCAAAATATTGGGTAATAGAATGGGTCTCCAGATACGGTGGCCCATATGAAGATTAGTCTTGCTCGTGCGGGCCCGAAAGCAAATTTCTCAGAGTAGTGTGCATAAGGTCCTGTTTGGGTCAGAAATTGCCTAAAATCAGTTTTTTTTGGACCTTTTTGATTTTTTTCCCTGAACAATATTGTAATTAAGAGCGATTAAGGTATTATTTGGCTAACACAAACAGTGCCATAATGACTTTTTTGGGCAAAAAAATGTACAAATTCAAAAAAAATTATTTTGTTTTTTTGTTTATTTTTTGCACGGCTATATTGGCCCCCAAAAAGTTAATTTTCAATTTATTTAGTTATTTTTTTTATCCTTAAAAAATAAAATTTTCACTTTTCTTTTCACCTATATAAGTACATCAACCCATAATGGATATTGTATAAATGACTGTCTATGTAAGATTAAAAATTAAAAATATAGTCATTCAGGAAAAGTTAAAATATTAATGAACATATTCTCTTACAAATGAAAAGATTAATGAAAAGATTAATGCCATTATCTCCAAGTTCCTAATGAACATATTCTTTTACAAAGCCCTCCCGTTATTAGGATTTACATATTCTCTTTTATATTCAAACTATCCAACCAAGATGATATTTTGTTCACTTTACAATATATATCAGTCACCTTTCAAGACAAACCCACAACAATCTGTTCCAAAATTTCGATATCCTCAGTGTTCAAAACATATATGCATGAGTTTCACACTTTCTAGTATATTGATTTCCCTTTGATACCATAAAGTTCTCTTCCCACTTGCAGTTACAACTACGAATTCACCAGTAGCAATTGCAATTTCAGCATTTTCGACAAACCACCAAGAGCACACCCCACAAGCAGGAAAAGAGGTTATGCAAACAACTCTACTATAATATCATTATAAAATAAGGAAAATTTAAACTAAATTGTAACATAAATAAAGTGAAATTTCTGCATGAAAAAATAAATTTAGTACCTCGTCAACTAGTGGTTCTAACCTCAGGCTCTCCTCTGTGATTTGCCTAGAGGAATTGACTTCTTTTTGGTTGACCCCACTATACTTTTCCCTGTTGTCCGCAAAAATCTGCAACTGGAGTTCTCAACTCCTGAATAGAATAGCCCTCCAATTTTAATAACTTTGAAAACAGAAGTGAAATTGAAATTATACATTCCAATCCACACTCAACATGAAAACCCCTCCACATAGCAAAATCCCAAAAACATCAAATAATAAGCTAAGGAAATCATTTAAAAGTAGAACACTGAACACATGCAGGCATAAAAGTAGGAAAAATAGCTTGCCTGTTTTCGGTGATATATGAAAAGATAGACTCCTCTCCATCAGCTGCCCACCTTTGAATTGTGTTAACCAAACAGAGACTTAAATACAAGAGAAAAAATCAGCATTGATATCACTTAGAATTTGAAGAACATATATGATATTACTTAGAATTTGAAGAACAGTACATCTTATTCGAGTATACTACTTTGCACGAGTCCTTTCTTTTAAATAAATATCTTACAAATCCCAGTATAAATTACTTGAAAAGAAACCTATTTTATGTAGTCTTGGAACCTTACAAAATACTTGTGAACCTGACATTCCAAGGGCAGCACAATGCAAGGTACATGTCATATATGTTAGTATGCTAAACTTTTAGGGGGGCTAATATCAACTAAGAAAAAAAAAAAAAAAAAAAAACTGTCTTGACCTTCGAACTTCTATCCAAACATCTAATTTGATATTCATCCCTACTTTAGGCTCATGCAGACAAATGACACTGACGCCATAATTTTTTTTATTTTTTTTATTTTACTTCCTTTAGTTCTGAAAACAGAATGCATTTTTAAGAAGTGCATTCAAATGGACCCTAGAAAACAAGTCTGCCAAAATCACTCAGTTAGACTTCAACCAGCTACATGAAACAACTGAACCAAAAAATTGTACAAATAATCGAAAACCAAAGCTAATCATAGTTGATTTGAGACATTAATACTATAATGTGGTCTGGTATTCCCTCTAAAGAGCAAGGAAGATACTTTCAAAATACTATTTCACATTGAAGATTAAAAATAATAATATTTATAGAGATAAGCAACTTACCTTGGGACAAATAAAGTGATTGTACTGTCCAGGTATACAAGAATCGTAGTTAATCCCAAGAAGCTCAATGTTTTGCAAACCCTCAATTTAGCCAAATTAACCGTCTCCTCCTCTTCATGATTTTCCAATTTAACTATGATTAAAATTCAAAAAAAAAATAAATAAGTAAAACCAAGAAAAAAATTCAAGAAAATTGCAAGAAAGTAATGTTTCAAGGGTAAGGCGGAGAGAGACCTGATGACTGAGAAACCCTGGCATGAAAGAAAGAGCGAGACCCAGAACGGTAGAGTGAAAATGGGTGGAATTTGGAGATGGGTTTTGGAGGTGAAGCCGAGAGAATGGGTCCGAAATTGGTGGACTCGTGCAATATTTGATACGAATATAGCTGTTGTGGTTCTTGTTGTTGCTATGAAAGAATTGCAATTACAGAGTGGTGATGTTGAAGAGGGCAGCTAGCGAATTGGGCGAAACAATCAATGAGGAAGAGTGGGATGCAATAGGCAGTAGAGACCACAAACAGTCTCTCTGTATCTCTCACATCGAAGTGAACAAATGGCCTACGTTCGACCCAGCCCCATGTAATCATCCTTTGGGTTCGGACTTTGGATAATTTGAATCCAATATTCGTTCCTCTTTTTCTTTTACATTCATTTCTCCTCAAACCAATCACTTTAACCCATAAGGTAACGCAACTAAATAGAGGTATGCCGTAATGTGGATTTTTGTTGCTAGTAACTATGCTGGGTGGGAGTACTATGTTGCGGATGGAGTTCATGATGACGGAGCCTATGTGAGTGCCAGCAAGGCGACGAGCTCTCCATTTATTCCGTTACAGCGATGTGCTGCGTTGGTACGTCATCCTCGTTTGTAGCCTCGTGTGTGTTGGGTCAGTTGTGGGCCCACCTATCAAAGATAGTAATGATTGTAATAATGGTAAGTGGGAAGGACGCCATTTCAGCAGTTTTGGTGTGTTCGGCCCATTAATTGTGGTTATTATAGATGTTGTTCAGTATATAGTATATAGATAGGCTGGTGGCATTGTCCAATGGACTTAATGATCAGTTATTTGTGCCTTTGGGTTTGAAGTGTATTTAGGTGTATCTTTTATGGTGGCTTAGTATGTAAGCTGTTGTTGGGTGGATCCCCTTATTTGTAAACGTAATAATGGTAATAATGACAAGTGGGAAGGACGTTATTCTAGCAATTTCTGATGTGTTCGGCCTGTTAATTGTGGTTATTACTGATATTGTTCAGTATATAAATAGGCTGGTGGCGTTGTCCAATGGGCTTAATGATCAGCTATTTGTGCCTTTGGGTTTGAAGTGTATTTGGGTGTATATTTTATGGTGGCTTGGTATGTGGGCTGTTGTTGGATGTTGGGTGGATCCCTTATTTGTGTTTACAACAGCTGAACTATGTAATCCTCATGTGATGTAATCTTATCTTGTTTGCCACGGTAAAAAATAAAAAAATTAAAATAAATAGAGGTATGCAATTTAGGCCTTCTTCATCCAAGCCAGTACAATTATCTCAAAAAAAGAGTGAGGGAGCAATCTTTTTTAGGGAAAAAAAATGAGAAATCTTATAGGAGAGAGATGTTTACGTCTTTGTAAAGTTTTTTTTTATCTTAAAATGGTTTAATTTTTTAAATTAGCTGATGTGGTTTAATATAGGTCGTAGATATATTTTAATGACACCTGTCATTATGTAAAAAAATTCACCTTAGGATAACTTAGAGAATCTAAGTCTAACCATGAAATGTATTGGAGAGGAGTTCAAATCTATTTCAAATTATAGAAATTATTTCGACCAAGCAATACTATCTAAAGTATCATTTTCAAAATTGTATAAAGACTTGTAGTAAAGTGATTTGAACTGTATTTTTGTCCAAATTGAGAAAAAAAAAAAAAAACTCATTTCTAGTGTTGAAATAGGGATCTTTGATGTCTCATTTTAGATAGCAAACAAAAATGGGTTATTCACTCTTGATAGGAACTCGGTGGCATTTCTTCAAATTCTAAACGATTACTTTCATTGCTGTGCAGCTGTTGAATTCATTTCACACATTTTTCCAATGCCCCACTCTCATTTCGTTTGGGACACTTCCAAGTTGTTTGTAGATCGAGTGATGCCACATGGCTCCAGCATTTGGAATGTTGGGCCTAACACATGTTGTTGGGATGTACAAAGTGGAACTTACATGGCCTCTTTTACATAATTGCATCTCACGGCTAAGATTATTTTGGCACAGCTGTCATACAATCATTTCTCTTGTGATTTTTATATATAACCTGGTTCGTGAAATGAGTTACTCTGTACTATTTTAGGCGTCTAACTAAATACGTTTTATTAAAAATAAAAATAAAAAACAATACAAAACAAAACAAAACAAAACAAACAAACAAACAAAAAACAAAAAACTCAACAAGTTTTTCAAAGAAGCCAAATTAATTAGTTTCTAGTTCATAAACTCGTATTTGCACCAGCAGTTTATTTCATTTGGCTTGAGGGAAATACGAGAGCCTTTAGGAACCAAGCTGCCACTCATTTGAAGCAGTAGCGACATTCGATATCTCGGACAGTTTCCTTGAAGGATTCTGTTATGGCCTTGTCAAATTGGAGCTGATCAGTGGTAACAGACACAAAAATTTTAGCAGTACATAATGCTTTGAGTTTGGATGTTAATTTCTAGCAGTGTCATTAATATACACTATAAGTTGGGCTATTTCTGTTCTGATTGTTCCTTCTCCTTGTGATTGCGTTGTTATTCCCACCAGCATTTTTAAAGGAATAAAAAGAAAAGAAGATAAAAACAGTAATTTTTTGTGTTACATGACATCAGACAACACAAAACAAAATATCTAAGCATTTTAATCTACTTAATTGAATAAGTCCATATCATGGATATGTTTTACTAATTAAATGTGATAGGTCTCATTCAATTAACCCAATGCATCCCCTTACATCTACGTAAATCAAACCCGAATATAAAATAAAATCGAATATAAAATAATCAAAATCTTTTTACTAAAAATATGTAATGACTCACTTCACCACATGGTATGATATTGTCCATTTTTAGCCTAAGTCTGCACGGTTTTACTCTTGGATTTTACCCCAAAAGGCCTCATATCAATTGGAGTGACACCACCACATATAAGCACTTCACCTTTCCTTTACCCAGGCGATGTGAGATTGTGCACTCATAAGTCGTCAGTGCGGTAGCCTGTCAGTATCTCACACTTGCCCACAAGGTCATCACAATCCACCCTCCTTGGATGCCCGATGACCTCGTCGGCACACTTCTAGCTGGGTCAAGCTCTGATACCATTTGTAACGACTTACTCCACCACATGGTATGATATTGTCCGCTTTGGGCCTGAACTCGTACGGTTTTGCTCTTTGGTTTTACCCCAAAAGGCCTCATACCAATTAGAGTGACACCACCACATATAAGCACTTCATCTTTCTTTTACCCAGGCGATGTGGGCTTGTGCACCCGTAGCTCGTCAATGTGGTAGCCTGCTAGTGTCTCGCACCCGCCCATAGGGTCATCACAATCCATCCCCCTTGGAGACCCGACGTCCCCGTTGGCACACTTCCGGCTAGGTCAGGCTCTGATACCATTTGTAACAACCCACTCCACCATATGGTATGATATTGTTCGCTTTGAGCCTGAGCCAACACGGTTTTGCTCTTGGACTTTACCCCAAAAGTCTTCATACTAATTGGAGTGAAACCACCACATATAAACACTTCACCTTTCCTTTACCCAGATAATATAGGATTATGCACCCGTAGCTCATTAGTGTGGTAGCTTTCTAGTGTCTCGCACCCGTCCACGGCACACCCACCCACAGGGTCATCACAATCCACCCCCATTGGAGGCCCGACGTCCTCGTCGGCAAACTTCCGGCTAGGTCAAGCTCTAATACCATTTGTAACGACCCACTCCACCACATGGTATGATATTATCCACTTTGGGCCTGAGCCCGCAAGGTTTTGCTCTTGGACTTTACCCTAAAAGGCCTCATACCAATTAGAGTGACATTACCACATATAAGCACTTCACTTTTCCTTTACCCAGGTGATGCGGGATTGTGCACCCGTAACTCATCAGTGTGGTAGTTTGCCAGTGCCTCGCACCCGCCCATCGCATATTCGCCCACAGGGTCACACAATCTACCCCCCTTAGAGGCCCGACGTCCCCGTTGGCACACTTACGGCTAGGTCAGGCTCTGATACTATTTGTAATGACCCACTCCACCACATATAAGCACTTCCCCTTTCCTTTACCTAGGCCATATGGTATGATATTGTCCGCTTTGGCCTGAGCCCGTACGGTTTTTGTGATACCCCTCGGATCCGAGACACGGGTTGATCAGGCCCAGGCCCAGGCCCAAACCCAAGGGATATCGAACAATTAAAGTATTTTAAATCAAACACGGAATACAAAGTAAAATAAGAAATAAAATTAAATAACTGGAAGAAACTAAATTAATAAACCTTGAATTATAAATATTTTAAGTCCGCTAATCTAAACCACCAATCCATACAACTCGGGAATCCTTCTAGAGGACCCTAATAAAAAGGTCTCAAACTAGAAAAAAAGCATAAAGCTAAACATAGAGAGTGGTCCTACGTAGTTGGTGGAATGGAAGTCTGTATCTGCTCTACATGATCAACCTCTAATTCTGGAACTGCCGAGCACCTGAAAAATAAAGGAGTGGGTCAGGCCCACATGCAAGTCCTGATCTACTACGATCCAAACAATAATTCGATACGCAGATACATCCTATAAAGACTCAACAATATCTAGAGTAGTCCATATATGTATATATAGTACACACTATACGACGCTCGCTAGTCCAGTAGGTTTGTCTCAGCCTGAATAGAAGGTAACATACAAATACGCACCTGAAGGTGAGCATGAGTACCTAGACCTACTAGGGAACAACACCTATGTTCAATTATCTATCCTAGGCGATATACGCGCCCTAACCATGGTCCTGATACTCAAGCTCATACCATGGCACATGTAATAAATATATAAAGTCCGTACTCCTAATACAAAATATCATCCATCTGTATAGTGGTCTGATATATGTATAACAAATCCATCCTGAAACCATAATAGGTCATTCAATTTATTTGATTGACATGACACAAGTAGGTGATGAAATTAACCTTTATGGTTAATCCATACCTTAATCCAAATTAGGTAGGACTTAGTATTTTGAACTAATCCATTCCCAATATAGGTAGGTCTTAGTGTTTTGAACTAAGCCAGCCCTAATATGACACCGTCTCATACCGGTTCATATATATCCATATAAGTAGGACTTAAGCTTTTTATGGTTAATCCAACTCATTCCAAATTAGGTAGGATTTAGTACTTGAACTAATCCATACCTAGTATGTCACTGTCCCATACTGGTACATACAATCCTCCAGTTAACATAGTTGACAAAACAATATTAAATAGTCATTAACCACATTCCACAGTATGTACAAGATAAGTTAATCTATATACATAAATATTAGGCATTCAATACCGAGCCTAAAATCCAACTCCAATAATGTAATTTGCTACACAATTTGCACACATTTACATTTTCTAACATAATCCATGAATTGATATAATTTAGTACAATTTAAGTATCAAATACACCCAAGTTAAGCATAGGAAAATTTAGTTAATTCACTATACTTCAAATACTATAGAATTATGATTTATATATATATTTAAATCATACACAACAACCTTGCCAAGCTCCGGTATATAACCCTAGCAAATCCTCCAATACAGTCCAC